ATTTAATCAGTAATATGTCAGTATCACCTGCATTAAGTATTTATGTCTCGGTAGAAAAGAGCATATTTTGACTAGATTACTTTTTAAAAGGAGGCCGGCTACTGACAAATAAATTGATATTACAAGTCTTTCAACAATCTCTTTTAAAGTTAGCATTTCGGAAATTGTATGGTGATATAATGACCCTCTTTGCAAACACAAACAGTGGTGGGATCAGGTGCCGTGGAGGATTAAGCATCTTCTGTCGTCTGATTAAACCTGCAGTGTGCTCTTTGTCATGATCGCATGATCGGGTAAACGGAAAAATAGTTGTCTAACAATTTGTATGAAAGACGTCGGTCAATGTTTTAGATAAATTGTATTTACAAACAAGGTCGTTGTACCGATCATAGAGATTTAGCAATGTTCTCTTTGAAAAGGTTGTTGATATACTTATATGATAATATCAACTTAGTAGTTCGTAGCCTGCCTCGTTTTAGAAATTATACATACCTAGAGTTATCGAATCAAATAAATGTACATAGACTATGTAACACTGTACATGTAGTTATGCAAACCATTCAACTGATTTTATGATCATACAACATTATATACATGTAAAGTTATTTATTGTAAAAATAAATTGTACATTAAGTCGTATGCACAGAGAATAACTCGTGATATGTCTTGCAATTTATTCCTGAAAGCTTCTTTTTTTTTTTGTTGAAAATTTAGAAATTAATGCACAGTTTCATTAGGACTTAGGAATAGAATAAAGTAAGAATTAGGAATATAAGATTTAGGTCGTGAAGATAATGTTTCCTTGTTGATATAATTTTGACATGTTTCTTTCTGCATTAACCATAAAAACTAATTAAACAATTCAAATATATCTGTGTAAAAAACATTGAAGTGTCCCTGATGTATTCGTTTCAGGATTAAAAAGAAGTTAATTCAAAATGTAGATTAAGTTTATGCCAAAGCAAGAGGCGAGGCAAATAAGTCATTTTATATATGCCTTAAATTATATTATGCAATAATTTTACATGTCCATGTATGTGCATTGGTACCAGAGTATCTAAGGGGAAATACCTAACATTTTAATTTTAGTGTTTATAGTTTTTGAATTAAATAATGATTTGTTCCTGACTTATTCTATCGTGATAATATCCTTTCTGACCGCTTTTCTAATAACTTATAAAATTCTGGTATTTATTACAAAACTGAAGGATTAAAACACAAGAAAATCTAATTTAAATGCTTTTTGTTTTAGATATAACGCCCACAAATATTTAGGTATCTCCACCTTCATGTGACGTCGGAGGGTTTTCCTGAATAGAATTTTCAATGATAGATATATAAATTTTTGTATTAAACTTATTTGATAGTGACATTGAAGTATATAGTTGAATTAAAAAATGCGAAAAACACCCTTTTATGAATCAATAACTAGTAATAATTAAACAAAATGATGAAAAGGGCAATAAATTTTACTTATACTTCTTCATTCGTGGATTTTCTCCTAAACATCTGTGTCATAGGTAGCTGTTGTCTAATATCCACAATTTTTATATATTCATAAAACGATATTTAGCTGAATCTGTTGAATTTTTGCTTTTTTAGCAATGTTGTTTACATTCAAATGTTGACATGTACTTATGTTTATTAATGTTTGACATCTTTAAAAATGGTAGCGACCTATACTTCTTGTGATTATTAGTTGTATTCAATATATAAAATTAAATTAAAGTGCATCATAAAGAGTGGAAATATATTTGAATCTGTTTTGTCATGCATTTATTGTATATTATTTTAAAATTCCCAATGTATATCCGCATTTGTTCATACGATTAATTCAAAGGCAACACTGATTTTTCCCCCGAACACTAAGACGTGGTAATTAATTCACATTTATATGATTTTGTGCAATTCTGTTAATTATTTATTGTGGGTGGACGTTCTTTTTACATCACGTTTGTGATCTCTTTGTGTCAAGAACATTTATATTACGATTCAGAACTATATGTCATCTTCTGTGCTTCACATAACGAAGCTTTTGTCGAAGTAGTCAATTCACAAATCATTAGACACCTTTACTTGTCTCTTTATTTTAAAATATGTTTTAAATTAATGTTATGAGATAAACATTAAAACTTTCGGAGATTTCGAATTTCTGGTGAGATATTATCGTTAGTAAAAGCATCATATCCCTCAGGAAATGATTATTAAATTTTTTTTCCTGACAAATGTAAGAGAATGAAACCTTTTATTCTGACCATAATTTAGAAAATACATGTTTAGAAAGTATAAATCTATAGTATGTAGATTTGATATCAAGCTTACAAAATACAGCATTATTGTTTTGAGAAACTTAATGTGTGATTGTATTGCGAACCCATGTAAAATAAAGAATATAATGAACTATAGTTTACTATAAAGAATTATAGCTTACTATAGTTTACTACGGTAAAACAAAGTTTTCAAGTATTTTCTGTTTTCAATCTTTTTCTCGAAATATATATATCTCTTGTCTTGTACACTTCTGTTTCTTAACAAAAATCGGATTCCAATCTAGCTAGGTTAAATGTAAAATGGTATGAGTGCTAAAGATAATTTTGCTTTTATCAAACAATGGGGACATGTCCTTCCCATGGAAAGTATTCGATTATAGTCAACGTAGCATTGGCAAATCAAAAATGGATTTATTGAGAACCTCTGACAAAAAACACAATAGTAAACAATAGTTAACTATAATAAGCAACAGCTTACTGTAGAATCAAAGTGCAAATTTTGCTTTAAATTCGGTGAAGGGTATGGATATCTTGAATTACTATTGTAGCATCTTTGATACTTTTTTTAACTTTAAAAAACTTAACTTCTAAAAAATCAATACTTTTATTCTATTGTCGATACCATGACCTTGTCAGCAAATACAATCTATCATTAAGTCGAATATTGGCTGAAGTTTTCATACAAATTGTTGGGCCATTATTTTTACTCTGAATTGTCTGCGGTTTGTCCGTTTATCTGATCATAACAAGGAGCAACAGGTGTGACAAGTCGATAGGGGATGCTTACTCCTCCATGGCACTTGATCCCTCCTCTAATGTTTACTTTGCGCCGTTTCAATGGATTACTGTTCCTTATCTTCATATTTCATTTACCACTGTAAAAAAATTTGAGAAAAAACTCGTATACTCTGATTTACTATGCAGAATACTATATGAGAATCTTCGTTGTGAAGAGACAAAGAATAGGAACATATATTTCGATCAGAAAAGTTCAGCCCTAGGTTAAGATAAGGAAGAAAAAAAACTTTTAAAAGGACATAGTAACCTTTCATTTTAATATCAGATAAACGCCGTACTTACAGATCTCATAAACATCGGCATAGTTAGCTTAATCATGCAAAATGTAGACAGGGTTTCATCATCTAACAAATTTTATTACCCATTTTAATTAAGATGTATTTTCATTTTATTTGAATGTTTTAACTATCCATGAATCAAAACTTGACTCGATGTGGCTTACCGCGATCCATGAATATATCAAATTAACACATATTTACGAGGAAGAGAAACTGCTTTTATTTTCAAAGTTACTAGTTTAAATATAAATGAAATACCATATATCTATAATAATGTATTTCTATCAATGATGCTTCAATTTATTTTTTGTAATATATGTTACATATTGCATTAACTAGGTTTTTAAGAAGAATACTTGCGATTATTGAAAAGATAGATCACGTTGATGTACATGTGTATTTGTTCATTAAAATGCAAAAAATCTTCAAGTATAATTCTCCAAATGCCTCAAGATGAACTAAATTTACTCGACTGAGCAAAAATGTGGTTTATTATAGATTTGTTTCAAAATTAAATTTTTACTCTTCACTTTGATTTGCTGTGATTTTCCTCCAGACATTGATGTTTTTTTTTTTTTTTTTTGAATTTTTAAAATCCATGTGACTTATGTACGGGGACATTTGTACTTTCTATATTAAAGATACCAGGTGTAATGTTTGTTTGATAAAGGGAATATAAATTAATCGTTGATTTTTTTATGATTTGAAGACTTACATACAAAATTGTGCTTATTATACTTTCCATCTGTTTATGACATTTTGACTATATTAACTTCTTTGTTGATTTATGAACAGCGACATTTTTGATTCTATGTAATTGATTGAATTCTGCAGGAAATTCTGTAAAATCAAATGTACTTCGACAAAACATGCGGTTTATCACACAAGATTTAAAATTGATTGAGTACAACAGTTTAATGTATTGGCGGTTGTATCTACATGATATATTACTTGATTAATATTGAAAATTAACATTAATTTGTTTCATGAAGAAGCTGAAAATTTTCATTTTAGAAATAGCTATTTTTGATGTAGGCATATGACATTTTTCATTTTAAAAAAATGCATTTTTGTAACAAAGCTTAAAATATCGAATTTATATTATTATTGATATATCAAATGAAAACACGCTGAATTTTCATTTCCAAAGTTTAAAGATTGATATTCAAATTTTAAATAATAAGTATAGAAAAATGTGCACTTTAATTATTTTAATACCTCCAAGAACTGCATAATAAATATCTTCAAAAAAGTAGAGCAAATGATAACAACTTATCATAACAGATTTCAAAAATGGAATAAATTTGTTACAAATGAAAAACAGCCAATAACCAACAGCTTTGTGACATAAAAATATGCGTACAATATTTGTTACATTTGACAGTTTCTGATGCCAATCATGTAAACTGCTTTTTTTTCATTGCATATATTTATACGAAAATCTGTAAAACGTCAATTTGGTCGACCAATAGGAGAGAGCGCGCAGTGACGATTGACTGGCTCGCGCCACTCGTCATGCATGACCACTTACTCTTTGACCAAACATCCGCCCTCCATATATTGCTAAGTAATATAACAGACATATAGAGATAATTAAGTTGTGTCAGTGTTAATGTGTGGAGAAGGAAGGTGTGACCATTTCTAATCTCTGATGATGGGGCAATGTAAGGATCCGGAGTTAGCGTTAGCCAAGGTGCGTCTTACAACCAAAGTTTTATATTTCATATTCACATCATTTCATTAAAATTTAATAGAAAATGTGTAATTATGCAATTATGATTTTTTAACTTGCAAAAATCAGTGTTTGAAATGAGAAGTTAATTTGAAGAATACAAATGCTATTAAATAGAACTCTATAATAGGTGCAAAAATATATGATCATTTTATTTTTAAATTATTATTATCATTTTAAATTATTGTATCAAACATTTTCAAAATGGATGGGGGTAAACATTTGAATATTGTGCATTGTTTTGGTGATTTTTGCAACTCCTCCATAAATAATGTATCTACAATTGCATGCATGTTGATCAACTGTTTTTACAACATACTGTATTACTTTGACTATATACATGAAATTCTTACGAGGCAAATATCTGACTAACTGCTTACTTAATTTCATTTAACATTTTTTTCAGTATTTTCATCCTTGATTTTGTGAGCTTCATGATACGTATTTTGTCCATCTTTTAAAATGTCTATTTAATTTACCTGAATTGCATATATTCCAAAGATTTGTTTTAAAAGTTGATCTAGAGATATCCAGGTGTGGAGTGTAAAATTTTGATTCTATTTTCATGTTCAATAAACATAGAAGATCTTGCTGGGATGTCATCTAACTACTCTCTTATTCACCTTTGTCTCTATCCAAACTATTTTTGAGTCCACCTGTTTCCGAAATTCTAGACAATTGTCTTGTTAGCTGCATAAAAAAATCATAACATGGGCTTGTTGGGAGGAACTTTTGCTCCTTTCTTCTGTAAGAGATGATGAAGAATTTGTCACCTCCTGTGTATGCAATTGCGTAAAGAACTGTTTGCGGTAAAATGACATAATTCATCTACCTGTATAACAGAAAGGTAACAAAATTCACATCAAAGGTGTGCAAGGACAATCGCATGTGAAACATAGGTGACCTGTGTTAAAACTAAATGTGCGAGGGCAGAAGTAATTACATTAGCGAGAGTTCTTTAGCGATTAACTGTCATTAACATCAAATTACCATTATGATTCAATTAGTTTTAAACACAAAAAGCATCGATATAAAGAAATTTCTTTTTATATGGTTATCATTAAGATGCAAAAAGTAATGAAAAAGAGAGTTTAGTATTACTTAATTTCAGTGAGTTGATGTTCAAATGCATCGAATATATAGTTTTCAGCTTTCTTAGACCAAGACGGGATTGGAAAGAAATACAGAAAAATGAATTTACCTTGTAAATCCTTCATAACTTCTACACTCTTTATCAGCATATTAAGTTGATGCATGTGCAAGAAACATCAACTACAATACTAGACAAATAAATTGGGGCTCATAAAAGTTCCATATTGCATATAAGTTGCAAGAAACACATCCCATAATTTTGGCATCTATTTTCTATTTGCATCCAAAATTTTCCAGTGCCTCAATTTGCAGTCAAACTTTTCCAGTGCCTCAATTTGCAGCCAAAGTATTCCAGTGCCTCAATTTGCAGTCAAAATTTTCCAGTGCCTCAAATACGACATCCGTCTTCAGACCACTAAGAATATTTTAACATATAGATATTTCCAATTTTAATCTCTCTGACACAAAGTTTTGAATGCAGTAGCTCAAGGATTTCTATTTTACAGGAAGCGATTCTTCAGGCACAGGCTCAGACGACGAAATGGGTCACGATGACGGTGGTGATTTCCTGTGTGGGGGTGATGGGTGTAACTGGGATAATGATGGGGGTCTATCTGTCTGGAAATCTTGGGAGTGGAGATGATGCCGACGACCGGGTGAGTTTAATACAAATTCAATCGATAAAAATGACTTCTAGGATTTAGATATTATAAAAACTAAAATGTTGTTTAAGGTAAAGTTAGGCATACATTGTACGTAAAGTTAGAAAGAACGGTGATGGGATAGACTGTATTGAATTTGATGGAAAGAATATGAAGGCAATAAGGTGATGTTAATAAACAAAAATATGCTAGCATCGCTTTAAAAGGTATGGTATTTGTTTTTAAATTTTGAGACGCTTTTAAAAATTTTATTTCGTAAACAGAAACTAGTATTAACTTAAATATGGGATAATGTGCTTGTGAGGTCTCATGGAATATCATTAAGTCTGAATGATTTAATATTAATATCTAAAAAAGTAATAAAATAATTAGTATTATGTTTCCAAAACAAATGGCGGTAAGAATATCTTTGATTTTTTATACGTACAAGATGATATTCAAATATATTCCAGGCACTGGTTCCCGCAATTGCAATAATTAAATCAGCTTCCTCAATAGTCCATCTCCTTGAGAATAAATTTTAATATTTTCTTCCATTAAATAATTATAATGAATGCTAATTTTAAAAGATGGTGAGTTTAATGGTAGCCCTCACGAGCGAATACTGTGGCAGAGATAATAGTTCTGATTAACATTCTCTACATGTAACTTGCAGTATACAAAACGCAAGAGTCAAAATAGATCATGTAAAATACAAACTATCAAATAAAGTCTCTGGTCAAGCGTCTTGATCTATTTATAATTAACGGAAGTGTCCTTGCATGTCCTAGCACGTCCAGTCGGGCGTGGTATATTGTGTTTGTCACTTTGTGCATAAAACAGAAGGAAATAATGCACTGTATAGTAAACAGAATTCCTTATTGTATACGAATTCAAAAGTTTTACATATTTATACAGTGTATATATATAGACAAAGGTAATCTGCTATTAACTTTGCCTTTTTGTGTAATCTGCCAAACAAAAAAAAAAGACAAACAAACCAATTTTTTAAAAAATTAAACAATCAAAAGTTGCAAAAACAATGTACCAATGCAGGCATGAGAAAATTTATGTAACAACGTAGAAGGCACGAATCGTATCGTACAATGTTGACCGCCGCCTTTCAAAATATTAACGTTGAAGAATTCATAGATTGAGATATAGTAATTCGTAGCAACACTATTCCCCGATTTTTTAAAAATGAAACAGGTATGACTGAAAAAAGGTGTTTACATTAAAAAAAAAAAATTATTTTTTACTTTATTTTCCACTAAGTAATTTTTTTTCTTCAATGACCATAAAAATAAATTTATGGGTTTTAATAGTGCTTGCAATGATGACGATCATTAAATGAATAATTAAATGATGAACAATATCACAAATTGATATTTATTTAACGTGCATTGCAAAAATAGAAGGAAGGGGGTGAATATCGTTTAATTCTTAACCGTGATCCTCATATGCATGCAGATAAGAGAAGATATTAATTTGTAGCTTAGTGTCTCTAAATGCTTCTAATTCGTCCACAAAATGTTGACTTTGACGCATGCATCAATTTATAATTGCATCTAATAAATGTTACAACCTTATTATTCCTATTCAAATGAATTAATGGTGTTTAAATTGAGTTTCACTGCATACGATGAGAATATAAAAGCTGGTGAAAAGTGCAATGTTGGCCAGGTGTGTTTACTCGTTGCTGTTTTTCGGGGCAGTTACAAAGCAAATCATAAGGCATTAATGCTGAACATTTTATAATTAATCAACGCGCTGAATTATCCTCAAAATGTAGATTAGCCAGTTGTAGATCGAGCAATATGCAAATTGTTTTACAAATGAAACGTCGAAGAAATAATTAAATAAAGTTGTAAATTGATATTTATTTATCTTCCTTATTTATAATATTGACATTGACAAAGCATTTTTGCTGTTGCTTCATGTGTGGATAATTAACCTCGATAAGAGTAAAATCTACCACTCTTGTTACATATGAACATGCTTTCACAATCAGCCCCCGTAAGTATTTAATTAGGAATTCTGATATTTCTGTATACATGTATTAGCTGTAAAGTTGACATGAAATGTGCATTACCTATCACTTCTGAAGTCTTTTAATAAAAAACATTTACAAACGACAATAATGCACCTTATTCCTAAAACTGTGATTGTTCTTTCAATATTACCTTTATCATTTCCTATATTTGGAGATGAAACAGGCAATGATTATTATTTATCGAGTAATAACTGACCTACAGAACACTACCTGCGCCTTTTCCCCACAAACTTGCGTGTAGTGAGCATAAACATGACAAGTACACAAAATGATAGACGCACAATTCCTGTTGGCCCAAAGACTGTTCCACTTGTAACCTGAATGCTAGGTCTATACATTGTACAATAATGCAACGATTGTAGCAAATTCTATATGCTGACTTCTTCTCTGAACATAATATGTAATTCAATTACATTAAATACTCATCATTGCATCAGCTTCAGTTTCCAAAACTTTTTCTAACGTTAAAAATTTAAAATCTTGAATATAATTATTTTCTGATTCAGGTAAACGTTCCTGCGATATCGCAAGCCATGAAAGGAGCCAACCTTGAGGATGATGTAGCACAAAATCATCTCGATCTCAGCTTATCAAACCCTGTAAGACTGAGTTTATCTATAATTTCTATGAAAGAACAGTGGCAGGAAATATGATGATAATAATTTGATAAAACCTTCACTTCATATTAAAAAATGCTGTAAATATAGTGAAAACAAAATGTAAAATAATTTATTCTTAAAAACAGTTTTAAAGTAATTTTATCAAACTTTATCTAGAAAAATAAGATATCCATAATGCCATCGACCACCACTCAAAGCAAGAATGATGACGACTACCTGACAACCATTACTGAAAAAAATCCCCCAGTTGTTTCGAAGAACCTTGAGACCATAAGAGACTTCGTAGCGAGTGGCATGCATAGTTTGAATACAATTGGAAAAGAGATGCTGTCCATAAAACCTTTTCCGAAGAAATTATATGCTAAACCTATTTTACCAAAACCGCATAAACACGAGAAAAATGGCAACAGAGGGAAGTCCATAAAGCCTCTTGTGAAAACAGCGAATGTACTTGCACATAATGCAGCAATGCAAGATGAGGCGAACGTCCATCATGAAGTAAGAGATGTTATACTCACACCAAACATTAATTCTATAACTAATCATTTTATTAGTGGTGGAATGAATGATTTGAGTGATAATTTCGTTTACCATCGTTCTCAAGTCGACTACAGCGACGAAAGTTTTGAGTTTGAAAGTTCAAAGATGGATGATCAAACATCTGCTGAAAAACAGTCAACTGACGATGAGAAGATATCTGTAGAGACCGATAATGTAGAATCGGAGGAGAAATCTAAAGAGGAAACTGATGAAAATCTTTCTACATCGACAGTAAATCAACATAGTAATCAACAATCGCAAGAAACACAAAGCGATGAAAATCAATCGTCAGAAAACAGTAAACATGAACAAACATCGTCCGAGGAACACTTACCGTTACCTAAAGACCACTCTATCGAGGAGAAAATTGATGATCAGTCCGATGAAAACGAAGAAACTCAGTCTTCTGAGGAACACACAGTAGAATCCTCAACAGAAAGCAAAACAAGTGATCAAAAAGAGAAAGGGTCATCTTCTGAAGTAAGTGATGAAAAACATTCTGAAGAGATGACTGATGACAACAAGTCGTCTGACAAGAAAGACATATCAACTAAAATTGAGAGCAGTTCAAGTGAGATGGAAATCATCAAACCAACAGAAAAAGACTATGAGTACAATTTTGAGTATGACAATTCTCACAGTGAAAATGAATTTGTACCCATTGTCGCTACATCATTAAACCTACATTATAAATTGAGTTCAAAAGAGTCTTCTCATGCTTCACTCAGCAATTCAAATTCCGATGAAGCTGAAAGCAATGATTTCGATGTTACCATTGATGACTCAAAAGAAAGAGATGAAGTCGAAGGCCTGGATAGAAAATCAGACAGCGACGAAAAAGACGAAAGTGTTTCAATTAGCCGGGACGAATTACACAGTACTGATGAAGATTCTTCAAAACCAAACTCTGAGGAGGAATCTTACAACAGCATTGATTCATCCGAAAATAACACGCCGAAACAAAATAAAAATGAGGCAGCAAGCATTGATCTGAATGACGAATCGAGGGAAGACCTTATGACCTCAAGTGGAGATATTCCAGATCAGGTGAAACTCTCTCTTAGCAGTAAAGGGAAAGATCATGAGTCCATAGAAGAGATTGATACAGTTGTAATAGCTCTTGGCAATTCTTTAAGATTTATTGAAAACAATAAAGAAGTGTCGTACGAAAGTTCGCAAGAAAAGGGAAAAGCTTCAACACTAGAGATTGCAGATAATTCAAATTCAGCTGAAAATGTCGAAAAATCAGAAGACGACGATTCAAATAAAAGCAGCACTGAATCTGAGAATGAATATCAAGTGGCACAAAATGACAAGGATTCAAGTTCACACGAAGATAATTCAAAGCAAAGCAAACAACATATGGTGAAGAATAGTAAAGAAAGTGAGGAACACATTAATGAAAGCAATGATTCATTGGAAAATAATCATGTAGTTGCAAGTACAAGGTCTGTTGACAGTAGCAAGTCAACAAGAAGTAGTGAAAATGATGATAGCTCGGAAAGTGACATGGCTTCAGAACAGAAAAACAGTTCTTCAGACGAAAAGGTGGATATTGCAGAAGCAGAAAGCACCGCAAAATCAATTGAAGATAGTGATGATTCAAGTAACAATGCAGATTCCTTATCAATAGGAGACAATTCAATCGATATCCAAAATTCATTTTCTGATAAGAGATTAGACGAAAAAACTACTGTTTCAAAGAATGATGATGCGTCAAAAGACAACAGCATCGAATCAACCGAATCTTTGACGGACAGCAGTCAGAAATCAGAAGAAAATGAATGGAGCTCAAAGGAAGTCAATGTTTCACAGCAGAGTGAAGAATCGTCTGAAAATTCTGAAGACATCGATGAAAGTTCAAAGACAGAGAATAATGAAAGGAAGGAAAACGATGAATCAAATCAAAGTGAAAATAAATCTACAGGCATTCCAGAATCAGTCAGTAATGAGGAATCAAATGAGAAAGACAAAATATCATATTTAAATAGTGGCACTGTATGGAATGAGGACTCGTCAGAAGCTAGCAGCAAAGAATCTAATGAATCCTCTTACCAAGACAGTACTCAGGAATCAGACGAAAATAAACGTGTTTCTGTGGAAGGAAATATTTCTAAGAATGGTGAAGGTGAATCGATTGACAATTCTAAAGACAACAGTAAATCTTCAGAAAACAAAAGTGACACCATTGAAGAATCTAAAGACAAAAGCGAGTCATCAGAAGAAAATCACAGTGCCTCGAAAAGCACAGATGAATCAACAGAAAGCAGCAATGGATCTAGTGAGAGTTCTAAACAAAACAGCAGTAATCAATCAGTTGAAAATAAAATAAATTCAAAGAAAGATATTTCCTCACAAGAAAGTGAAGATGACTCAACTGATAATTCCAAAGACACCAATGAAAATTCACAGGAATCAGATGATATTTCAAAAGCAGACAACTCAGTAGAGACTTCCATAACAGACAACAGCGAATCACAAGAATCACATAAGCAAGACAGTGAGAATTCGGAAGAAATGAGTAATGAGTCTAAGAACAGCGCTGCGTCAGAGAAAGACAAGGATGAGTCCATTGAATCTTCTAACCGAAACAGTATTGATAAATCGGAAGAAAGTAATAGTAATTCAAAGGTAGATTATGCGTCACAAGAAAGTAAAGACAGATCAAATGACAATTTCAAAGATAGTAACGAAAGTGTAGAAGATACAATTAATGGTATAGAAAACAATTATGCTGCAGAGGGAAGTGTGGACGAATCAATAGACGATTCATATCCGGAGAGTGGTGAGAAAGGTAATGGATATCAGAGCAGTGAAATATCAAAAGAAAAGAAAAACGTTTCAAAGAATGACAATCCGTCAAAAGAAAGCAACAATGAGTCGAACGAGTCTACTAAACAAGATAGTCTTGATAAATCAAACGAAAATGATGTTAGTTCGAACAACGAAAGTAACGACAGAGGGTCAAAGGCAAATTCAAAAACTTTCAGTAGTGTTGGATCATCAGATAACTCGTATTTGAATGAGGATGAAAGTTCAAATGACGCTTCTGAAAAGGTTACACATTACAGCAGTGAAAACTCGGGCCTTTCAAATGATGACGAATTACCGAATAGTGATATCATTTCTTCTGAGGAAAGCGGCTTTGAAAAAGATAGTAATGAAAATACAGATAAAAATAGTAGCGACTCTAGTAATGATGATGTAAAGGAACAAAGGTCTCACATTTCCGTCGAGAGAACATCTATTTCACTGGAAGATTTAGATGATAAAAGCAATGAAGAATCCAAAGATACTCAACCTCAAAACAATTATGCGTCAATTGAAAAGGACTTAAACACAGATTATTATTCTAGTCTTACTGAATTTAAATCTCCGGATTATGACGATTTATACAATTTCTATTTCTATCATGATGACATGCACAAGAGCAATAACTTTGAAGCTGATTCAAAAGAGATGCCACAGTCACCTTTACAAACAGGCCGTGCAACTCAAGAAAGTTCACCGGATAATAGCCAGACAATGTCTCAAAAGTACAAATCTAGAGAAGACGATGAATTAAAAGATTCAAAAGAATCAAGAGACAAAGACTTTTTCGAAAGTTTGAAAAAAACTACAAAGGTCGTGAGCGACAAAAATAGTCAAGAAAGCGATGAAAAATATTCTAAAGCAGATTTGCCACAAACAGACTTTTCAGAAAGCCTGTCTGATAATAACATATATTTCGACTTTCTGAGCGAATCCAGTAATAAAGCAATAAGAAACACTGTTGATCAGAGCTCGTCTGAGGTATTTAGTGCTAATCTTTTTAATAAACCCGTCAAACAGGCATCTGAAGAGATTTCTGACAATAAAAACGACGATGATGTCAACTCATGGCTCGAAGAAAAAGGACTCGATAAATCTAAAAGTCAAGACAAAAGTGAAGAAACAAGTGATTCAACAAATCTAAAGTCTGGAAAAACCGTAATCATAAATAACCCATGGGCATCAATTGACGATACTAATGATGACCACTTTATGCAACCAAGTTTCTTCCGTTTCGGGGACATTAGAAATCCTTCTGAAGATGGACGTCATGTACTCACGACTCATAATAGTGTGATAATGACAACACAGCCAACTGTTCCTGCAGCCTACTATGATAATTATGACAACTCCCAACAAGGAAGCTCCTTCAGCTTTGTTGGAGTCTCAGAGGTTCCACAAGGAGGCCTTCTTTCCTCTTGGAATAACGCTGGGAAGTGGGTTACGGACGATCAAACTAATCTAAATAATCAACAAAACCAGTATACTAACGAAAATAAGCATTCAAGCGTTTATACAGATACCTCAAATGGAGTCACCCAGATTAATGCAGATACCATGGGTTTTCAAGCAACACACTTAAATGACCATCAACCAGTGCAGAATTTCAATCCTGCTAACACTTTTTCTCTCCATGATGGTTCTTTTCAGCAATATGAAAATACACATATAAATAACGATTATTCGCAAGACCTCCCAACCCATGGAGACGTTCCAAGAAATCAACCCACGGATCAGAACTCAGAATGGTTATCTTTTGGTTCTAACAATGGCGAAAATCACTTTTCATCGAATACTGAACCCACATCACATTGGAATACTGTGTCCATAGGAAATGAACCGTTACCAGCTACTTCAACAGACATTCAACAATCTGTTAGCGGAAAGTGGTTAACAGGAAACATGCAAGCTTCTCCAGAAGAAAACACTAGACAGGATAAAAACATATTAATAGACCCCGTCAGCAATTATTTCATCAATCAAGTTCACATGAACACTTTTAATGGACAAAATGACCAAACAAATTTTAATATTAACATGGCAACGGATAATTCAAACTTGCAACCACAATTTAATACCCATGCAGTTTCCCAGCCAAATCTACATAATAATGTAGTTCATGATAGGAATAAGCAACAGTCAAATATCTATCACAATCCATATCATAATATAAATAGCCAACAATATCTGAACAGACCCCATTTGTCTACAACACCTGGTGAAAGTGCGTCCTTTGGCACCATTCAGCACTTGCATAGCTCTTTTCGGAGTACTGATGAAAGTAGCGATGAACAAGATGATGAGTCCTCTACACGACAATACACACCATCAAGTATGTCATCATTAACGCAACCTTCTCAAGTGTACAGAAATCCTCATATTTCAGATGACAGCAGTCATGATGACACTAGTGACGATAATCAACATGCTGTTCATCAGTACAATGACCAAAATAATGACAGTGGTAATGAAAACAACGATGATAATAGTGATGATAGTAATAATGACAACACGCGTGAAGATGACGAAGAAAGGCGATAAGGATGTTGTGAAGTGGTAATAGTCGTCGCTTTTTACAAAAGCCGTAATTACTTTCGCTATTTTATTAGGTTAATGCGATGTTTAATTACAACAGTGAATTTGTTAAAACACCTAACAAAAAAAGTAAAAGTGCAGCTAAATGTACAAAAATTCGTGCAGGGTCAAGTTGCATCCTTTTCTGTGAGAATGTGTATTCAAAAGGGTTTCTGTGTAAACACATCTTGATGTTTGTTGATGATAAAAACCAAGAAAATTACAATAATCATGCAAAATCTACCTTGTCGGTAAACAACGTTGTTGAAGACGTGTCTTTTTTTGGTTTTGGAAATTACAGACTTTTTTTTCTCTTTTAGTGGAATTGACGGCGTTTCGTTTTTAACAAGGAATTTATAAAACCAATAACAATATCTATTTTAAGACAATCAATGTATGCAAACCCACACATACATTTTTGAAATATTACGCAAGTGTTGAAAAGCGTTAACAATGTTCATAAACCTTCTCTTTTATTTTGATGAAACATTATTTGTTAAGCAGGACTTATGTATCACAATATTCACGATCCACTATTAAAATTTATTGTCCTTCAGATATCGGATGACCGTAACATAAATTCATTATGCATTCGTGAAACGTAATTCAGGAAATGTTACAATAGTTCAAAATGTGGCTTAAATGTCTCTCAGACGTTGGCGTATTTATATTCAAAGTATGCTAATATAAAATTGTTCTATTCTGATTTGTGGGCATTCCTGGGCACTCCATAAATATTGCTCATGTATATTTGAATGTCACTTATTTGACAGAAGAATTTATTTCCATGTACATCCTATATTTTTCGCCGATTTGAATATGTATGAAATTTTCTTATAGGTGGAGTGAATGATTTATTTTAACCATTTCATCTACTTGAACTTTATTATAAGAAAATTAACTTCATAAGATTTATGAGCAGTTTGTATTAGTATAAAAATCATCATCATAAGCGCAAAAAAAAAAGTATGAAAAAAAATAGAAACTTTTAAGTTGTTTCTTATTGTCTTCCTGTTATTTATCGTTTTGTTCACAAATAAATGTTTTTTTAATATTCGTATTTTGTCATATATACTATGCTGTGCTGGACACAAAATGATGTGGGTAAAATGAGCTGGATTTGTTTTATCTACAAACTTTTTTCTCATGAACTTATATTTATTTACACTTACAATAAAATTTTATAAAATAAATCTGCTTTTATTATTTTTATTTATTCAAACCAATAAAGAAGTGCATTTCATTAGCAAACTCATAAAATTCCTCCCAAATAATCAATTTCAAAGCAATTCTTAAAGATGCTCTATAATTATTTCAGAAGACAAGTGAAATACTGATTAATCTTACCAAATAAAAATAAATAGAACAAAGAAATGTCATTAATCAATTTTATTGCCTAATAAGAAGCAAAATGGCATATGCATCAATAATCTAAAAAAAAACTTTTACACAACTTTAATCCCATTCTCATTATCCCACACAGAAACAAAAAAAATCAGTTTAACTGAATTGATGCCCACTGTGAAAAATACCTGAAAATATGGTCGTTCGTAAGCGAAACATGTCCAGATAAGATTGAACATTAAATAAAGTAACTTCTGGAACTTCATGGCAGGACCTTGAATGAAAATCATTCAAATTTAGGTCTAAAGCAAGAATTGAATGGCACAATATCCACATCAATAAAAAAATATAAAAGGATGTGGAATCTTTAAGCTTCCAAGTCAACCATTCAGAATAAAATTGAGCATGGGAGATGTAATGTCAAGTAAAGGAATTCCAGAGCACTGGGGTATAGGCATTGTGACAAGTATGTTGAAAACTTTGACTAGTGTTAAGAATACAATCCTGAAATCTGGAAAATATTCTTTCATCCAAAGTTAAACTCGTTAAAAATTACTTCTTATAGCAATGAAAGATATAATGAAGTACACTCAATGACAATGACATTTTCAGTTACCCCATCCCTGATAAGTTTCTTGTTGATGTCTTTCTGTAGATATTTCTTATTAACCTTGTCAGTTACTGAACAAGGAAATGTGAATTAAATATACATAACACTGCATCATTTGTTGTGATTACATAAAAAAAAATTCCTCCGTTTAGTATAAACTATAAAACCACTTGCTATACACATTTATGAAAAAAACTTTGTATATTTTTCAATAATATCATTCATTGATTTTAACAGTTTTTTTTAATAATACAATCCAATTGCATTTACTAAAAAGGTTTTCCTTTTTAAGCCAAAATAACACATAATAAAAAAACAATGCAAAATCCTTTTTTGAAAAAATGAGAATTTACACATATATTTCTGAACTCTGAATTGTTAATATATCAATATTTTCTTTCATAATTCTGGTACTTTGCTCAAGTAGTTTTTAGTTTAAAGTTGTTTAATGTCTGAAATGTTATTTATAATTACACTTCATTCTTCAATCCTTCTTCACTCAATTTCCATTCCTTGACAAATTCATTTAAGTTTATATTTTCCAATTTCCTGTTGATTCCATTGTTTAATTTGGGTGTGAATGAATATGGCCTTGATTATATATTAAGATCATCTGGCAGTGTCAACAAAAACTTTAAATTTGGCACAATTCTCAATCCAAACAAAAATACATTCCTAAAATCTATTTTGTGTCAAGAAGACTTCCCTCCTTTTGTAGAATCTGTAAAGACTTGCACCTGTTTAGAACTGCTGGCATAGTACACCTGGCCACGGGAGAACCCCTGATAAGGGTTGCTCTCCTCATCTGGGGATATATCAGTGGGCGATTCTGATTTTCTGTTGTTACCTGATGTTGTCCAAGCACCTTGAAAAATTAGAAGTTATGTATGCTAAAAATGACAATTAGAATTTGAAATTGCTGAAAACATGAGAGTTTAAAATATTTATTGCTAGTTATCATCCAGTTTATAAATTAAAGAAATTTTATATAATCACTGCAGTACAGAACTACATATGGCAAATAAAAGATAATTAAAAGTTTTGATTTTTTTTTTTTTGAATTACATAATTTTCTGAAACCATCTGGCTGTAATTATCAAAAGATAATCTGATTATTCTTTTACATATAAATAAAGGTATAATTATTATGTCCCTGAATCAATCTGTTTTTTATAAAGCCGATGTTTGTTTAACTGGTTTATCAGAAGTTAGCTACCTTTGTTAGGTCTGAACAAGGTCAGGATTGGAAAATGGAGGAGTCCTGGTTTTAATGGAATAACATTCAATGTAATTTCACTCTGTCCATCTGGAATGTCTATTAGTCCTGTGAAAAACAATAACACAATATTATATTCCAGAAGGAGTCAATTTCTATTTTATTTCGTTTTACCACTGCATCTTACATCTTGTAAAACTTAAGTCAAACACTGCTGCATTGATCAATTTTATTGGTTTACTGAGTCTCAAATAATATAAAGTAACACTCGGTCCATTGCTGACAAGAAAAGAGAGATAACTCTTACTCCTTTTTTTGCCTAATTGGTTCTTCCAAAAGCTCAACTCTTTGTGAACTTCAACGGAATTAAGGGTCAGTAAAAAAAACACAAAACTGTTTTTATAATCACCAAATTCGTGTAATAATGTACATTGTAGATATATCTAGTATTACCTGAGCTTTTGCCAGTGACTGCCCACACGTCTGGTTTATCCTCAATTTTATACAGTACAGGTGACGTATCACTACACCACTGGGATCGTGTGATCCTTATGGTTACAACTGCCAAACTGCCCACTGTACACATCTTTTTCCCTTCCTCTGGTTTCACATCCATCTTTACAGTGTACAAAGTCTACAGAAAGATATCATTGACCATATTTAGTATTGTGTAATCAACAATGATGACATATTTTTCAGAGGTCAAACTGTACCTCTGCAGCAGGCACACCTTACATGGCCACTTTTAAGGCAATAATTTTAGCGAATATATGAATTTGTTAATAACTCCATCCCTATTTGAAAGCTTAAAGAGCTCTATGTTAGGCCAACTTTGAAATAATGTTTGTTTGCCCTCTCCTGACTAAGGATGAAAAAATTGGGTAGGTAGGTAGGTAAGAAAATTTTTTTTCTCAGAAAATTTCAATTTCAATGCTAAATTTTCAAAATCTATTGTCCAGAATACATAAAAAAAAATAATTACTTCCAGGAAGTAAAAAAAAAAAATTTAGAGTCTGGCTATTTCTAGCCAGTTGGTCGGGAGAGGGCAACCAAAGAATTTTTTTAAGATGGCCTTATACACACACACACAAATTGTAAATTGGGAAGGAAATATGTATAATGTACATTTAATAAAATTGATATGTCTTTCTAAATTATGTAACTTGCTTCTCTGAATATTTATTTCTTCTTACCTGAAAGTCTGCAATGGTGAAAGCGTAGGTCAGTTTGTGAGTTTTCTCACTAATGTCCAGAGGACTACTGTAGTGGACAGTGTACAGTAACTTCACACTGTTGACCTTCGGACTGTTACACTTCAGTTGCCAGACATATGATACGGTCTGGTGACGACTAACACTCTATAAAAATCAGTTATCATATTTACATGTAATGCTCAGAGGCACCAAAATACTTTGGTCTGAATTCAGTTCAGAACTGCACAGTTTAATCTCAGATTCTAATGCAACTGTTTTGTAATCTGCATTTTGATTGGCCAATGCACTGGTGTTTAAGGCAATAAAACAAGCATTAACAATAGTAAAATATCATAATAGAATGATGCAAAAACACAAAGCTCTGTGATGTATTCATATCATAAAACTCAACGAAATAAGATGTAAGAATCAAACAAAATGCAATAATTGCATTAGAATGGGAATAATTATCTTCTCAGTTGTGACTGTTGAGCTGATTTAACAGTTGAAAACATCTGTTTTACCAGTGATGCACAAGTGTTGCTGGTGAAACTTTGTTTGCGACTGATAAAATAGCACTAACGGTCTCCAATAACAAATCAGAAGAAGTTATATTCCAATTCTTGAAGAGGATTTCTTCCATTAAAACTGACCAATTCTTGTCCTTGCTTGTTCATTGGAAGCAGTTCTATATCTGGGTTCTCACAGTGTATCACAGGGTCTGTCAACAGGAACTTCTCCTTGGTGCTGCCATCTAGTGAGATCTGGATGTATTTCCTACAAAATATTCACCATTCTAAGGACATTGCACCATAAATCATCTGAATAACGAGGACAAAATATACTACGCGTAACAGCCTCAAGACAGCTTTATTAATTAGAATTAATTAGACAGAAGTTCTCACCTGTCTCCTGCAGTAAGTATTTTATGTGTGACCCAAAATGGAGAATTTAGGGTCAAATTCATCTTCACGGGTAAAGGAAAACTATTGCACATCACTATCATCTACAAAACAAAATCGTTAATAAACCTACATGATACTTAACATGAACATTTTCAAAATTAGGATTTGTGTCATCAATTTTCCAAATCTGAGACAATTAACGTAAATTCTAACCTGAGCTTCTGATGTCATTGAATTCTCCCTCTGATGGTGAATCTGAACTTTGAACTCCTGGGGTTTACCATTCTCTGTCTCCATGACAACCAGTGTGTTGTCATCACTTTCTGTGGTGACAGTGAGGCTCTGGGAGGTCTCTAATTTGAGGGTTTCCCCCGGGGTCAGATGGAAACTCCCAGGTGAGATACTGAGAGAGGCTTGCTGCGTTATACCAGATAGAAGGTAATCTGAAATATAAAGTACCAACACTTACAAGGCTTATTTAACTCAAACTAAGAAAAACAACACTTATAATTTTTTCATTTTTTTTCTTTCTATCTCTTTTTTGCTTTTACCTCCAACAGCAGGTTTGAGTACACACACAGGCTGTATATTAGAAACACAAAAATATTCTTCAGTCTCCAAAGTCTTCAGAAAATCCAGACCCCCTATTTTAATCAACAGTTGATGGGGTTTGTGACCTCCTGCATTCTTCACCTGTAAAACAGTGGGTTCTCACATCATCTGAACACTACTACAAGACTTAACTATTGCTAAATTGTGTGGACTTGTAAATGTACTCTACAATGATACTCATAATAATTTCTCTCCATCTAAAAAAATATGTTTAGCACTGTATAAGGAATAATCAAAATGATAAATATTTCTCTGCCAAAACAATATAAAGAATCGGAATCACTAAAAAGCAAAATCAGATTCCTGATCAATTTTTTTTTTTTTCTTGAACAGCAAAATTTTCATATGAAACACAATAACAAACTGTTGTTATACGAAGTTCATATACCTGCTTAGACAAACTAAGTACATTCTTCCCTGGTTTAAGCTCCACTTCCTGCAGTACCAGAGCCTCACTAAAGTCTTCCTTAGTCTGCTGAGACTCTCTGCGGTAATTTTTACTACTATCCATCCGTCGCAACAAGTCCTGCGAGTTCACACAGACAATTCCACAAGACCCAGAATCCATGTTGGCCTTGACCTCAATTTGACTAGGAACTGGTTTTCTGATTGGGTTGAAGTTTGGCACTTGTTCTTTAAGCATACCTCCACTGTCTATTTTACATAGAAGTCTCTTCCCTGAGACATTGTGTTTAATGACAGCATGAGGGCGGACAGACAGACTGACGCTGTCGCAATGGACAGCCTCTGGAATGTCACACTGGAGGTGCAGGTCTATAGTTACAGTCTGATCACAGATAATGGAATGTTCCTGAACAACAACATCCTCCACAACAAACATTGGAGCAGCCTTTAAAACATAGTTACTCCCTACAAAAACAGAAGTTCTCATCAATTTTTTTCCTCCTTTATATACTGATTTTGACATGAATAATTAACAAGAATCAATTATTAATCTAACACAGCGTTTTTTATGAATTCGGAAATAAAAGCAGAAAATTTGATCATCAAAATGTATTACCTGAAATTACTATTTGTAAATAATTGTTAGCCATTCTTGCTTAAAAAAAGTACTGACCTGAGCATTCCTTTGCAATGCTGAAAATTTCTGTCTGAAATGTTTGACGCACATCAGTAGATAAGGTCGGACTACTCACCACCTGACAAGCTGTTTTCAAGTATGTAAGAATGTTAAGGAACTCTGACATTCTCTTTTATCTATTCTACTAAAAATTTATCGAAACATAAAAATGCATTATTCAGTCCATCCTGTAAATTTATTTTTTAGATTGATTTATGATATTCCACAAAATGTGACCAGAAGAGATACAGTTGAAAGCAATAAAGGATATTTCAGTCTGTTTCCCAACAGTTTCTGGCATTTAGCCAGCTCCAATTTCATGTCATCAGCAAGATGATGCCAGCCCTCTTGGTGGAAACTTTTCATGGCATCCATCAGGAAGTTTTCTGCCTTCTCGGGCTCCCCTTGTAGTCTGTCATACAGAAAAATATCAGATCAATTTATTATCTCAAAAATCTATCGACATTTTTTTTTCATTAAATTTTTATTTTTATTTATGACCTACATGTAAAAATCTGCTAAATCTTTTCCAATTAGACGGGCAGACCTAAACCTGCTGATGTGTTTAAAAGTTCCCATGGCAAGCTCAGATAATTCCTGCAATTTAAAAATATCAAAATAAAAAACTGTAATATCAATTCTAATTTATTCTGAGCATAGATGTTGCAAATGCAAAAATAAATTAGAAAACAGTTTTTGTACTTACATTACGAATGTGTTAAATTATTATATCATTTATATACATGTATTTGTTTATGAAACTGAAATTTAATAACTTATATACATGTAAGTCTTATCTTGTGGATTACAGTAAAGAAACATTTTAACAAAATATCAAAATTTAATCACTTTTAAAATACAATGAAATGAGACATAACAGTCCAAACTTTACCAGGTATGTTTTAGTGAAGGCGTCTTTGGATGACAAAGCTTCCCTCAGTTTTTCAGGAGGTCGTTTCTTTATGTCCTCTTTGTCTATTGGTAAACATTGTATAAACAGAATTATCTATTTATCTATCTTATTGAAGCTATTTTTTCATTTTTTTTTTTTTAGATTTTTAGATTGGAATTTTAATTAAATACCATCATCATCTTTAGTTGCCAAACCAGATATAAGATCTAGCACCAGGGTAAGTTGGTCAGAAGTTGGTTCAATGTCTGGTTCTGGTCGTAAACCACACAACTCTCCTAGGCATCTCAGCTTAAAAGTATAATACAGAGATCATAATAAACAGAACTGCATAATTATCACATAAAAAAGACTGACAGGGAAAGCAAATGGATGTCAAGCTTATCTGGTTAAGAGAAAAATGTGTTTTAATCTGCAGAAATCATGTTTTTTTTTTTTTTACCTGGCACAAATTTTTTTCAATCAAGCAATATTTGTTTGAAAGATTTAAAAACTAGAACTTGTGCCATATTGACTGAGCCTTTATTAAAATAAAGAACAAAATGACAATTTCATGTTTTCCTCACCTTCTTTCGGGCATAATCCCAGAGACTGGCTGTATATAGGGAGTAACTCTTAATGGGATCAGATCCCATGAAGTTTTCACACTTGTTGAGGATTTCTAGACAGCTCAGAAAAACCCAACAGTCAATACTGCCTACAGGCATTGTCACCTGAAACACAGTAGTAAGGACAAATAAATATGGACAGAGATTTTCATAATTACCATACATGAACGGTACACAAATACATTATTTTACATTAAAACAGACATTAATATATATTGATATTTGCTGTGTTTTTCTATTAAGCCAACTATGAAATTAATTTGAATGCCATTTTCATATATACTCATGCGTAGAAATATTATTGATGGAGAAACTTGCGATAAAGTGACATCACAATGACACTGCAGAGACACTGATAAAAATGTAAAGATACAGCTAGGGCAACAATAAATGCCAACCTTGAGTGTAATTTTATTATTTTCAAACATGTAAATATAAGGAATATTTTCTTAGTTTTGTGTGAATTATTGGTGTGTAAATCACAAAAACTTGCATCTAAGCTTATTTTTTATAGAGCACTAGTACGCTTTTAAATTATGAAATATGGGTATGTGACAAGTCTGTGTAATTTACACACCAGTAACTCAAACAAAGCCGAAAAAAATTCCTTAAATAATTCAAAATCAATATTTTTCTTTACTAATATACATTTCAAGAAGACAAAATGTCAAGTAAGATGTAACTATCCCCCTCCCCCTTGCACAAAAGCTTCACAACTTTTAATCTGAAATTAAAAAATCACACAGTAGCTCTGTGCATTTCCTTTTCCATCAAATGTACAGAGTGCTTTAAATCACCTTTAACTTGTGGATTTCCTGTACAGTATTATGTAAGAACTCCATGGCTCGTTTAGGAATATCTAGAGGTTTATCCAAAAGGAAGAGCAGGGCACACTGCCTAGAGAACAGATAGCTCCTGAAGTCCAGCAGGTTGTCTTTATTATCCTTAATTAAATCTCGAATGTCACGGTTGATTGGTTTTCTAAGTGACAATCCAGACCATTTTGTGCATTCAGCTGTGTACTTCAACATCCAATTCACTGGATCTGTCATTTAGACATTATTATTATTATTAATCTTATCTTAGCAACATTCAAATCATCAACAAAACAGTATAATATATGAAATAAGTATTCTGATGCTTTTATTTATAAGTTTTTCAAAAAAAACTTTCAATAAGATGCAAATCTTGCAAAAAAGGTGTGGACATTTTTTAGCACACACAAAAAACCCCCATAAAATATGTTATACAGAGAATGCATGTTTCCATTACAATCTAACAAGTAATCATGATTACTATTGACTTTGTTTTGCCTAGTGGTAACTATAACTTACTTCCTGCAGCATAGAAAAGGATGTACTGAGTAAACAGAGCATCTAATTCATCATACTGTATCAGGGCATCCTCAAATAGGCCTAGCATCTCATACATGAAGGCCAGCTCCTCCTGTAATACAAATATCAAACACATTTATATCATATCAGGGCATCCTCAAACAGGCTTAGCATCTCATACATGAAGGCCAGCTCCTCCTTTAATACAAATATCAAACACATTTATATCATATCAGGGCATCCTCAAACAGGCTTAGCATCTCATACATGAAGGCCAGCTCCTCCTTTAATACAAATAACAAACACATTTATATCATATCAGGGCATCCTCAAACAGGCCTAGCATCTCATACATGAAGGCTAGTTCTTCCTGAAATAGAATTAATAAATACATTTATTATACCTCCATTAAGAATACTCAAATTTGATTGGCTTGTTAGAAGGCTTTTAAACTCAATTATGACTCCAAAAAGTACCATTTACAGCAATAACCTAGGAATCATTGCACGTGGGGTATAATGACCCGGTCATTATAAATAATGACTGCTAAAAATGACCTGTTAATCTAAATTCCATTCAAATTTAAAAATGAATGCATACAGTAATGACTGTTCATTACAAAAAATGCCGTTATAAAAATATGTATAGTCTTTTTATGATACGAAATATGATTGTCCTTCAGATGCGTCATAAAATTTATCGTTTTCATTGAAACTTTTGTTACGATGTCAAATTCAACGAATGCAGACTCAGTCTTGGCTCTTTTGTACAGTAAAAGTCTGCACCAGATTTTCATTGTACTTGGAAATGGTATTTGTGGATTTATAAAAATGCATGTTACTGACAATCACAGAGTGTTTTAATAAATGGGCAGTGCAAAAACTTACAAGACTTGCAGGCGAAAAGTAAACAACTTCACAAGAGAATCCCGATCCCGATGAAACACTGATAATAACAGTTTGTAGGTCTAATACACAATTGATTATTTTAGTAATTAAGCCTACAAAAATTGTCTTAACTTATATCGGTATAATAAAACAATTGATTACCCTTTATTAGTTCAACATGGTGAAATAAGGACCCTTGACCTGGCCCACTCGCTGACCTGACCTGACCTCGGCCACTAAGCGGCCTCTGTCAGGTCAGGTCACCTCATGGGCCAGGTCTCGGGTCCTTATTTCTCCATGTTGACCTCATAAGGGGTAATTAATTGTATAATATAGTTATTATTTACTGTATTAGTAAAATTAGTACCCAAACAAGCTGAGAATCTCTATCACACATATGAATGCAACCACTCCTGAGATCCCTACCACAGAAAAATATATTTACTTAATCAGCACGAATAATATCTCAGTCTCATGCAAAGCCCCTTGTTACTACATGTATTATCAATTATCAACGCACTTCACTAAACAAAATATAGACATTGAGTTTTAGCTACATTTAGAGAAAACCTGCAGGCAAAGACTTGATAGATAAATTGTCTATGTACATTATTTATGGTTGCAGCTCACATTAACTCTCTGACATACCTGAACAAGGAAAAAGTTGTTGAATTTCCATCCTGGTTCATTTCTTTTCTCGCGTAGACTTCTCATTCCATCCTCATACTTGTTGAGATGTCTGTTGAAGGCTTGAAGTAACAGTGAGCGAAGTCGCTGAAGCAAAACCTGCCAAGATTCGTTCATCCGTTGATCCTGTTTCAGAGGCTCTGTGACTGCCACACATCTGTGGGGGGATTAATTGTAGAGAATGCTTTATGTAGATCTTATTGAATACTTCTCATTTTAAAAGCATTTTCACATACAAAGTGCTTTCTTTTTAGAAGACTGGTATGCTCTAGATGGACTTACAAACTATGAATCAACTTAAATATATGTATAAATACGAAACGAGAAAAACATATTATCTACATATTCTGAAAATTTCTGAATACGGTATCAAAATAATTGAGAATTATAAGTTTCAGTCCAAATGAATTCAACAGGCTACAACACTGAAATCTTCGTAACTAAAATTTACTCCATATACATCAGCAATAAGTACAAACCTTTCAGGCTGCTTGTTACAGAAATCACTTCTGATTTTATCATATACTGAAGACCTTGGCAACAGTTTGGACTTTAGTTTACTTTCATCTGTGACAACAACCACTATCAACCAATCAGGAATGTTCTTTCTCTTTAGTGCAGATGTCCATTCCACAAGTTCCTCACGTATAGTTTGTTTATAAGTATCCAAATCCTGGAAAAATTTTAAAATGATATATAAATAAAAATACAATTATTACAAAAATACAGTGAGAGTATAGAGCAGATAAATATCACGTATTTATCTTAATTCAAGAAATAAGATTAGAAAGAAGATAAAAGAAAGTGATAATTATGATATATTAATGATTAAATAATGTATCTAGATGTAGGGCTGCGCAATAACATTGATATTCCGCTATATTGCGATTCGTTAACAAAACATATTGTATTGCGATACGTTTTTTGAGTACCGGTATATCCGCAAAATGCCTGGGCTTGAGATTTCTAAAGTAAAATATGAAATTTAAGATGCCAGAAACGGTTTCAATTATGCCAAACAATAAGGCTACTGTTGTATGGTTGTATTTTGTTGCAGAACTGAAGTGAAATCGAAAAGAACTTTTTTATAATACACATGTAGTTTTATTCACTCTTATTAGAAATGAAGGTTAATAAAATAAGAACTTTTTTATAATACACATGTAGTTTTATTCACTCTGATTAGAAATGAAGGTTAATAAAATAAGAAAAGAGCATTTTAATTGTTATCAAAAATATTGCAAAATATATTGCAATACAGTAAAAAAATATGTAAAATATCGCAATATATCGCAATACGAAATTCCCAGCTCTATCTAGATGTAACATCAACACAAATTAATTAATAATTACTCTATACTAGAAACTCATATATTGTCTATAAGAACAATTTTATAAAATCTATGAAAAAAAAAAGAATGTAATCTATACTCTTTACAAATATTCAAAGAATAAAACCATTGTTCAAGATGTGAATAATTAGGTTTACATTCTCAGACCAGTTACATTAAACACATTGATGGCTTACACAGGAAGTCCAGAAGATATGGAAGTATGGTCGACTGACAAGTGTTTTGTCTGTCTCTGTTGGTAAAATGTCCTCATCATATGGAACAAAACTGGCCTCTAGGTACACAGTCTTTGGAGCACGACTGTAAGACCTGTGAAAAAACACTACAGTCTGAAGCTAAACATATTTATAACAGATTTGTTTGATAAGCATTTAAGCTGACATATGAATATGATACATGTAATGATGTATATGCCTTTCTCATGTTTCTGTTTCATTCAAAGTCTCTACATGACTGCAGTCTGATTAAAATTAGATAATTTTATTACAACGAGTAAAAGGCTTTGAAATAAGAGTGCATGACAGTGTATAAGTTGCTGGCATTACACAAACCTTCTCCATTCTGTCGCCTCCGATGGAAGTCCCTGTAACAGTGTGGGATGGAGAGACGAGAATAAAGACTGATCTCCGTGACCTGAAATATGTCTAGATTTGAAGCACTTGTGTTTTTGAAGTTGTATGCAATATAATCTTCTCTGAAAGACTTAATGTTAGCAGCATAACAGTGTTTATTCTTAAACAATACACCCCAATGTGTATAATCCTGGCTAGAACATATGTAGTGCCCTACTGCTTAACAGTTAGGCCAGTCAGAAAAACGATTGCCCGAGAGTGATGGAGAAATTTGCATCGTTGTGAAATAAAAAATATAATACTTACATGTTACGATTGGTTTTGTTTCCATAATACATTTGTAAAGTCAAGTTTATAAACTTGACATGACAATAATGATTTACGGAACAGTCACCTGCATCTGTTTTGTTGTCAGGATAAATAGAATGTCGAACCCGATGGATATACCATTCAAAAGGGGCGTATCTAGGCCTACACCTTCTTTTATTGAAAAATAACAGTTAGACCATAGGAGATCCAATGCTTGTATGGAAAGTAATTAATCTACCAAATTCGCAGAATATCCTTAATAAAATTGTTGGATATGAACCACCAAAAGGAAAAAAAAATGGAAATGCAAAATATTCTGCTATTCAATTTTAACAAAATTATAAAAGTTATAGACTTTGTATTGATAGCTTTACATAAAATATTGGTGTAAAATCTTACTTGTGATGACTGGCTTTGTCTCCATTTTACACAAAAGTCATTCGAGTATCTAAAACGTGTGCAAATAATCTCTCAACCGATAAGCGAATATACCAATTGATGCTCAATTTTATCGCTAGTCAAATTACTGACCATCGAATTACTTACTGATCCATGTTTTCAAACAATATAATGCCTCTCTTCAAATTCTTGTGCACAAAACTTGTAAGTTCAACGATGTAAGAGAGGGTGAATATATATATAGCAACGTGCTCTGTTTTATTTACACACGAAAATCTACCGGCATAAAATACACTTAAAAGGAATGGAAACACTAATACATGATTGAATTAAGTTAATCTTCAGTTTTCCTTATAATTCCATTTCCTACAGCAATTTTCCAATGAAAGGCAAGAAGTTTAATATACAAGAAGTACTGGCGGATCCAGGAATCTTGAAAACGGGGGGGGGGGGGGAGGGGGGGACCAGTTTTGGGTCGAGGTAGGGGCCCAAAAGCCACACCAAAAAAAAAAAAGATTTATTAAATCTTATGTATATTTTGGACACAAAAGGGGCGGATCCCCTGTCCCCTCTAAATCCGCCAGTGTGAAGGGACCTCATCTAAGCACAGCTAGCTTACTGAGGGAGTTATAGGAAGGTATGATGAAAAAGTAATTATAATGTATGACTGTGAGTCATGTACTCCCAATATATGTAATGTGATTTGATCAGTGAAATTAGCAAAGAGGTTGAAAAGAATTTAAAAAAAATTGACAAGGCAAAAGAATTTAAAAATGTGCGTAATGTTCTCCTCACCAGTTTGTTTTCTGCTAGAAAATCGTTTTGAATAAATTGCTTGTCAAAAGCAAAAACAAAAAATCAAGAAGAGCTGGGGGTGGGGTGGGATGCACAGAATGCATCACATTTTTTCATAAACTAATGAAGACTATTTTAGAACATTTATTTTCATTTTCTCATTACATTTATAATTTAGTTATAAGCATTTCTTTCAGAAATAGTTGATATTCATAAAGAAGAATTTATATGCACTACAAAATCTAGATGTCAGATGTAAAAAAAAAAATGCAAATGTATAAATTAGAACCAAAATTCTGTAACATACAAAAATTCATATCACTAAATCCTGTTTTTAAGAGCTTTCCCATGGTATAACATCTGTGACTATGGACGATGCTTATATGTACTACAGAAAGGTTCCATACAAACCTACAAAACATAATAATCTCTCACAAATACTACACTTGACGACATAAGTTACGCCATAGTAGTTTACTAATTATCAGCAGATTTGTACATGTATACGTATTCAGGTAAGTGCTCATCATGACAGGTAAGCTTTTACGGTGCCTTTTATTTTCTGTCTGCAGAGTGGACATTTCTTTACGGATTTCGAGCAGGTAAAACACGTGACAATATGACCGCATGGCATAAAGACGATGTTGACGTTTGCATCCATACAGACCTTACAGAGCGTTAGATCTTGAAGTTTTTGAACCTCACATTGTATTGAGTGATAATCTACAATTACAAATACATGAAATATATGATAAAATTTGGAAAAAAATGTTTTTGAGTATTAAAGAAACTCTTAACCATCATGCAAGACTACTTGTTAAAACAATATATTTGATGCACCAATCAACTCAAATTGTCTTTTACTTTTTATTTGCTTAACAGTATACATGTACCTGATGTTTCTGTACTATGATGCTCTTTCACAAACTTCTTATCTGGATCGTTTGAAGACTCCTGATCATCCCTTTGTGACGTTTCTGTACTCGATGCTGATGTTGAATTCCGTGACACCCGTTCAAATTGACCATGAGATGTCTTGGAGGAAATTCCAGATGAGTTTGTTTCCCTGGAGTCTGCTCCTCTTTGTTGACTCTGTCTGCTTGTGTCGGTTTTGTGGGCATTGCTTTTTGGGTCTGGAGAATGATATAAAGCCATTGCATTTCTTTGATAATGTTTTGCAGGTTCTTGTATCGCAGATAAACTTTGACTTCCTAGTGTCTGTGGTTCAGCATTATTTTTGTTGGGTACACTTAGTTGTATCTGAGAATGGGATTCTTCTTCGTTATTCAGTATGATGTTAACAATTTGAATGGACGAGGGTCTGGCGTCATTGGAAAATGTCTGCCAAATTCCTATGGCAGACTTGATTATATCTACTGAATATCCCATCTCTAAAACAGCCAGTATTTCTGTGGAGGAAATTAGTTCTTCCGTTGATGCTGGACTATCATTTTTCAGACAGGTGACATCTAAGTTTTCCTCAACCTCCGTTTGAATATTTTCAGATGCTGCCTCCAATGACTTTGCAACTGTCTGGTAGCTCTAGAAATGCGATGAAATTCCTTTAGAATGCTAGAATACAGTGACTTTTTAATCTATTGAGTATTTAATTTAAATAGAGAAACGCGAAACAATGTATTTTTGCGTACTTAAACAAGATATTTATGCTAGTACAAGCAATGATAATGTCAGGCTGTCTCAATATTATGGACCTAAATATGTTACCCATAAAACAAAATAGAGGAGTATAACGTTTAACTATTAACTCTATAGTCTCTTTCATGTTATACACTCAGTATACTAGTATATACTTGTAATAAACCTGTAAGACGTTATTACGTCCGTCTTTTTATGTAAGTTCGATGGAGAAGGTTACCACACAAATTTAAATTTGTTTTTCTTCCTTAGCTAAAGTTGCAGTGTTTGGGTTAATTGCATAAAAACCAGTCCTCATAGCAAAAAGATAAATTAATTCAGTATGACAACATGGACAATTCTAACGGTATGTAGAATTAATGAAAACAAGGAGCAAAACTTCGTTTATAGATATGAATTCGAGTTTAAATAGAACATAATACAGATGTCTTGATACACAAAAAGGGTGTCACATTTGGACATTCAAGGTCTCTCAGTCATTAATATTCTTGAAATCTGTAGTCAGCAACATGCCCGTGTAATACATGATGTCTCAATGATTGTACCAAACTTCACTGCGATTTTTTTCAAATAACACCTTATTTGTAATTTAACAACATTGTCAAAACTATCCAAAATTAAAAACACTTGAACTCTTAACATATCCTATGGCTTAAAAATAAGAGTTTAGGAGTAAATGAATAGGGGCCAACATGAATACAGAATTAGTTTTTGAAAGTTTTATTATGTATTTTTAATTACAATATAACACATTGAATAAAAAAATAAGATAAATATTTCTAACACACCGAGATGGCCTTAACAGTATTTTCAGATTTCGTTTTGAGGTGACGCTTGAGATATTCACAGTCTGGAAACCACTTCCGGTGTTCCACCCACGGATCTTCTCCCTCCCTCCACTCTCCGAGGGTCCCTCCGCAACAGAAACACCTCACATGGTCACTGTAACCTGTCATTATAGAGACATGGTCATTGAGATTTTTATCACGTAATATACATTGTAAATGGATCTATACAAGTTAAAGTGATTAAATCGTAATTTTGATAAGTTCAGATAACCAAAAATAAAAAGACCTTTCTATATGTTTTTAATACTTTATATAAAGATAGGAATTTTCTGTTAATTACACAGTTTAAACCAATCGCGTATCAAAGATATCAAAAATTTAAAACAATAACCGATTTATTTACCGACTCCAGATTTAAATAACAAAGTTTTAAGTCAATTTATCTCTAGAAACAAGGTTACTCAAGTTCAAAACCGGTGAAAATTTTAATTTGAACGTAAATAACATATACTATATATACCTACACTCAATCTCATATTATTATTTTTTTTTAGCTCAGATACGCCATATATAGCTTTAAGTGTTGAAAAAAATGGAATAATGATTTAGGAGATGTAACTTATAATTTGTCCTATTTGCCTTATTTGAAGGAATTCACTTTCTTAAAAAACTAAATTTTTGATCAATATTTACAAAATAAGTTGATAAATGAAAAAATATATATTATTTGGTTATATTTATATGTGCACAAGTTTTTTATTTGCCTGATACGTATTATATTTGTTATAAATGAAAAAAATATCGCTTCTACCTGAAAAAGCGTAATTTTTCCATAAATGAAAAGAATAGTTTATATGTTTATTTTGAAATCATGTTCATTTCATTTGTCATTTCATACAATTATATATATATATATATATATATATATATATATATATATATATATATATATATATATATATATATATATATATATATATATTCAACTCGTCTTTTTAATCTATGTGAGTAAGGTAAAATTAATCTTTGTTAAAGCGATAAAATATTGGTGTCGTACGCTGTGTGCGAAACAGATGGGAAAAATAAATGGAGGCAACTTCTAATTTACTCATTTACTCCATTTTAAATTGAAATTGCTCTTTTCTCTTTTTCATTTCTTTTTTATCGATGTTTGTTTCTCTTGCTACTGGAATGGTCTGGTTTCCATATAGAACAAATAAAGACAAAACTAAACTTGTGCACACAATTAAGCATACACCCCCTTAAATTAGGAAATCCTGAATTACTAGTATATATTTTATGGATTTAGCATCTTCGGGGTGGGGGGGGGGGGTTAAATTCTTTTCTTTTTAAACCCAGACAGGCTACCAATAGATAAGTTAATGTTACAGGGATTTCAACATTTTCGTTTAACGTCAGAATTTGACAAATTCTAAGGACGTTTTAATTGACCTTGTTAGCAAATATAATCTATAACTAGTGATGGGAAATCGGAAAAAATCATAATCGATTATCGGTAATAATCGGCTGCACATAATCGATTATAATCGAATTTTTAAGTTAAATGAAATAGAAGAATTAAAACTTATTCAGATTTTAGTTCAAATTTTCACCGAAAAAAATCATTTAATTAATTATATTCATAAATGTTTATTGATTTTTCCTTTAATAAAGTGAAAAATAGGATTTATTTACCTAAAATATATATATATATATATATTGAATGTGAATTTGCTTTAAAAAAAAAAAACTCATTAAAAATATTGAATGGAAATATTACTGATATTAGTCCCACCTTGCATTACATGTATTCATTTCTTGGAATTACAAGTTTAAAAAGTAGTTATCCAGAATGTGGACTTGTATTCCATATTATAATAACGTTTACAGATCGTCTGTACTATTATATTTTCCTGTGTATAGTAAAATCTCTTAATATTGTCCGTTTTTCTGTTATTAGTCTGACCCTATATTCAATCATGACGGTAAATATCAACATGGCATGGATACCTTCGATATTTTAAACATTCAGCACTATACTTTAAGACTCTTTGCATATGGATTTGGTAATAAAATTAAAGTATTACAAAATTATTTTTTTGTCAGCGATGTCGGCGACATTTATTTTGTAATCGATTAGTAGCATCGAAGAGCTTCCAACGACCGACAATCGATCGTCGGCGACAATCGGCCCATTACTATCTATAACTGGGTCGTATTTTGAATGAAATATTTTATACCAATTGTTAGGCCTTTGTTTTATATTAAATTTGACTACGGGATTTTCCTGATCAATTGATAGGGCTCACGGCGGATGTGACCTGTCGACAAGAGATGCTTACTCCTCCTAGGCACCCGATCCCACCTCCGGAATTTATTCCGGGATTCTGTGTTTTATGCCCTAATCAGAGTTTTGTATTGTTGTCGTTTTTTTTCTGAGATCGATCACTGCTCGTTCTCTACATGTTTGTATTCATATCATCTCTAAATTACAGGATACTATTTATATTTATTATCTATGTAAATAGAGATTCTGTAGTTTGTAGTAATCTAAAGAAGATATGCTATCTGCACGTCAAAATCTTCAGAGTAATAAAAAAGTTACTATTTTCATTCACACAGTTTATAAACAACATAGGATGTCGTGTAATTTGAGTATAATACTTAACTGATTTTATAAAGAATTTCCTAATGAAAAAAAAAATCTTTCATTGTTTTTTCACCTGCGCACAGCTATATTTATATCCAACTCTTAGACTCTGAATGTATTAATAATTTTTTTTAAATGGTCTTCCAAAAATTAAAAACAATTTTAAAAATCACGTTTTCTTGGTTTTCATTTACATGTATATATCATGCAATTTTGAGTTTTTATTATTTATTTCTAGCGTTGAATTTTTCATGGTGTGTCTAATGACATTGTTACTCTCATTCAAGAAAGATTTTTTTAAAAAAAAAAAAAGCATCCCCACTGAACCTTTACAGAGTAGATCATCAAATCTTTTCTACAGAAATACGTTATATATTTTTCTCAAAATTAGATTTATGATTTTTTTTGAAGGGAAAAATTAGAATGATATATACTTGTGTATGCTTTGTTGGTGATCTGCAACTGAATATTCTCTCTCTCTCTTAAAAAAAAGTTTTCAATTTGTAAATTGCTATTGTAGAAGGTTATAATGATAAAGTCAACATGCAAGAGAACATAACATAACTTTTTAACTGAGCAAACTAACATGTCTAGGATCGAGACCAAATATTTACAATCTATTTTCAATTGTTAAAATCTTATAAAGACAAAAATACCACATAGAAGTCCGATAACCTTCTCATAGGTAAGCAGTGCAAGTAACCGGATGACATATGATGATTTTCATATAAATAATGCGAAATAGTTATTTCCGTTAAATGTTGAGAATTTGAACAGAGATGTAATAGTTTTCTTCTTTTTACATATTTTTTTGGTGCATTTACTTGGAAAAAAAATCAAATATAATACATTTTTTTTAAAATACCCCCTTTTGCTGACCTTTTCTAAAAACTGTTTACCTGTATAGAAAAATCCAGCTTTTGCTATATTTACACAGTACACTGTCAAAATTTTAGGTGCCTCTTTGAAACTTTGAATTCGACCGTCAAGATTTCTGTACGACGGAAATTTTACTTTCTTAATGTACTCAGCAGGTACAATCATTTCATTCGTAGTCTTAGTTATGCTTTTTTGCATTTTATTGGAATTTGAAACATCATCCATTTTATCATGTTCAGTTTTTATAACATTGCTTGCTTGTGCAAACACGCAACTTGGTG